GCCTGCCACCGCCCGCAGCTGCTACCCGGCTACCTGGAGCGCGGGGCGGGGGTGACGCCCCCCCGGAGGCCCGTGACGCTAGGGGCGGGGCTTCCGCGGGGTCCGCCCCCGTCCTGGTCCCCCGGGGTCCTCCCAGGGCGAGCTCCGGGAATTCCAAGGGGCGAGGCTGGGGGTAGTGCTCTCTTAGTACCTTGGCGAGGGAAGGTCTCTTTCTACGCCCCCACCTCACCCTGGAATATGGAGATTCAGCTTCTCCCAGACCGTCAGCTTGTGCTCACCCCTGGTCTCTGCACCCTGCCCTTAGTGGCTGGAGCTCTGGAAAAGGCTCCACAGGTGTGTGGCTTCTGCTTTGTCTGTCTCCAGGGCTCTTCCCTGCAGGGATCCTCCCACCCGCGTACCCTCGCGCCAGTCCACCCACCCTCATACACAGTAGGTGGAGAGGCGACAATGAGGGATGGTGTTGAGGTAGGCGTGCCAGTGCAACAGACTGGACTGTCCCCTGGCAGGCCACTGAACACCCCGGAATGTTGGAGAGTTTGGAAACGTCCTGGGCCTGGACTTTGAGCAAGACTGAGTTTGGGTCACTGAATAATCCTTCAAGCCTCGCTCCCATGCTGAGGGTCAGAGTGGAGGCCCGCAGTCAGTGAGCAGGTGTCCTTGAGCCCAGGGCTGGGCCGGCTAGGGCTGTGGAGGTGGGCAGACCCTGTGCTTAAAGGCCCTGGCACAGCTAGAGAACCACAGCAGGATGGGGTGACGGCTGGGAAGTGGGAAGGAGAGAGGGCGAGGAGGGGTCCCAGGGCAGAGCTGCAGTGCAGAGGAAGAGACATGGAGAGAGGCCCGGCGAGCTTAGGGGAAGCCCCTCTGCTAGCCAGATTTCCCTCTTGTCCTTCTTTGTCACCTGAGCAGGACTGTGTTGGCTGCCAGCCCTTTCAGCCATAACGAGGCCTCAGTTGCCTACTGTCCGGTTCTACCTCAGGGACTTCACTAGGGAGGGACCTCCCCTCACTGCCCCCGCAGAGAACTGTTCCCTAGGTGTCCCTCGGCCTTTCAGGAACCTCTCGGCCACAAGGTCTTGTGATCACTACAGTCCAGAAGCAGGCCCGCCTGAGCAGAACAGTGGAGCGGACAGAAATGTCTGTACATTCAATGCAGCGGCCTCCGGCCACACATTACCTAGCACTTGAGATGTGGCCACCCTGATACTTTATCTAATTTTAATTGAAGAGTAAATAGCCACTTCTGGCTACTGTATTGCCCAGTGTAGATAAGGGGAGGGAGGACTTGCTTGCATAAGGTCACAGAGCCCCAGGATGGCAGAGCTGGAAGAGACACTGCCTCCAATGCTTCCTTTTTTTTTTTTTTTGAGAGATTTTTGCTATAGGACACATGTGGTCCCCAGGCAGAAAGCAAGAAATCACACACATGCCCCCCCGCAGGGGACATGGCCACACCACAATCCCTTCTCCTCCATACGCACCTGGCCTGAGTTTAAAGTCGCCAGGTCTGGGACTTGAACCACGGTTGACTGTGTGGGAGTCCAGTGATATAACTGCGATGCCTTCTGCTGGTCCCCCAAGGCTTCCTTTTGCAGTGAGAAACTAAAGCTATGCAGGGCAAGGGGACAGACAGTGCCAGCGGAGTCCAAGGCCCTGAAGCCCAGTTGCAGGTTTTCGGCTCTGCACGACACTGCAGGTGGCTCCCATGCGGGAATGCTGCCCCACAGCAGCCCTGGGGTCCCCCACTATCCAAGGAGTCTGTTGTTCTAGAGGTGCTGGGGGCCTGGCAGGACCACTCCGTGTTTCACTGCATTTGCCTCCCTCAGCTCAGGGGCTACCTGAGGCTACCCTTTCAGCCAAAAGAAGGGCGAGCAGCTACATTGAGAGGGGCAGTTCCAGGGGCTTTGGGCAGATACTGCCTCAGTCCTCAGGCTCACATACCTGCAGACAGCCCCAGTGCGAGAGTGGGAGAAGGGACTTCAGGAGGAGTCCTTGGCCCGCAAGCTGCAGTTTAGCAGGTGTGTGTGTATTTGCTGTGCCCACGGCCCCGTTAGGCTGCATGGAGCTCTGTACCTGACAGTGCCCAGTGCACGTGATGAGGTGGTAGCCCCTCGGACTTGGGTCAGACGGCTGGGCTCTTGTCTTGATTCTTCATTACCTTTTACTATTCACTGCATCTTTTTTTTTTTTCTTCTTTTTTCTTTCTTTTTTTTTTTTTTTCTGCTATAGGGCTCATGTACTTGCGGGGGTGGTTGGGGAGAGAGAGAAAGGGAAAAATCACCACCCGAGAGGGATGGCCACACCATAATCCCTTCTCTTCCATTCTCCTCTCAAGATTTGGGGCACACATGTACACATGCCCAGTGTGATTTTCAAGCCACCAGGTCCAGGACTCAAACCCAGCCGCTGGCCACACTGAATCCAGCCAGCCCAACCACCATGCCACCAGCTGGCCCTCTGCATTATTCTTCACCACTGTGTTCTTTTTTTTTTTTTTTTTGCTATAGGATGAGTGCACTTGCCAGAGAGACAAAGAGACAGAAAGCGAGAAATCACCCCCCAGGGGGGATGGCCACGCTGCAATCCCTTCTCCTCCATTCCCCTTTTGGGATCTTGGGCACACACCCACCCATGCCTGGTGTGAATTTATGCCACCGGGTCCAGGACTTGAACTGTGGTCGACTACACGGGAGTCCAGTGACATAGCCATTACGCTAACTGCTGGTCCCCCCACTGTATTCTTCACCAAGGATCGGGGCAGATGCTTTCACTGTCTGGGCCTTGGTTGCCCCATGTGTCATGCGGACATCCTGGTGACCGCTGCTGTTCTGGGTGGTTGGTAGTGGTGCTTGCTCTGCCTGTGTAGATGGCTGCATCGGTGTAGCGGGCCTGTAATGGCCAAGGCCGGCCAGCTTAGCAGCAGAGTCCGAGCCGGGTGCTTGTTTCTGACCCACAGCCTTCTGCCGCACTGTCAGCCTTGGCCCCCTGAAAGACCACAGGGTGCACAGGCGGGCTCTCTGCTAGCTTTTCATGAGGTTGTGTAAACGGCCCCTCCCGAGCCCTGCTGACAGCTGGTGGATGGCTTCTTCCCTGCATGCAGGGACCTGTGCATGGTTGTCAGTCTGTCACATTCCTGTCCACATCTGGTCACGCAGCTGCCCCTCCCTCAGTTCCAAACCCTGGTGAACCTAGATGCCATGGGTTGTTAACATGAAGTCTTTATTGTTTGTCTTCAAAGCAATGGAGGGCTGGTTCATGGGTGGGGTAGGTGTCCCGAAGGAGCTCTCCACCCAGTGTCCCCAGTCAGGGCACAAGTTCAGGCAGAGGGGACTCCCCGAGCACGTTCCAGCCCTGGGCTGGGGCTGAGGGCAGGGCTGCAAGGCAGCAGGGGCCTTAGCGGGCCAAGGCGAAGCCAATGCGATTGTTCCGCCGATCAAACTCCGTGTAGAACTTGCGGATGAAGCTGGCGCCCAGGACCCAGATAGGCCCAGTGGGCGGAGGGACGTCCAGGCCATGAAGGGCCAGGGTGCACAGCTCGTCGTTACTGTAGGGGTCCTGGAGGGAAGTGAGCGGGTTCCCCACTGCCCACGCACGACCGTTCTCCCTGCACCTCTCCTGACCCCCGCAGCATCTTGGGCAGCTCTTCCCCTCCTGCCCCTTCTCCACTGGCCTATCACTCCCTGGCCCTGTCACGGGCCATCTGGAGGCACCTCCGGTGCAGGTGCTGTGCTGGCTCCTAGGCAACAGGGCACCAGGCGCCAAATTCCCTTCACAGCCTGTAACTTCTGACCCTCGACAAAGGACCAGATTCTCTAAGCTTTTCGAGTATGAACAGGGAAAGACAACAGGAGCGGAGGAGCGGAGTGCTGGATAAACAGAAAGGGGCGGGCGCCATCTGCAGCCACATGTCAGAGTCCCCTGAGTGCCAGGTGCCCCTCCTTGAGGCTTTGATGTCACAGGCATGGCATGTGGCCCGGTTATGGGGGTTTTGAAAAGCTCTCCAGGTGGGGGCCACCAGGTGGCATAGTCTGGTGAAGGTCTGGACTCCCACATACACAGCTGTGGTTTGAGTCCCGGACCCAGTGGCTTGATGATCAGGATGTTGGAAATCCCGTAAGGAGAAAGGACTGTGGCGTGGCCATCCCCCCTGGGGGTGATTTCTCACTTTCCTTCTCTCTGTCTCTCTCTCCAGTGAGTATACACTCTATGGCAAAAACTTAAAAAAAGAAAAGAAAAGGAAAAAAGCTTTCCAGGTGACCCAGGTGGCCTATTTGCGACCACTGATCTAGCACGTAGTCTGCATTACATCTTGCTCTCCCAAGGGCCCTGCCCCTGCTCTCGCCCTGCCGCCCAGAGCCCCGCACCTGCAACACGTAGTCAGCACTGGTGAGCGTGTAGGCATGGCCTCCCAGGTGGAACGAGATGTCGGGGAGGGTGGGCACCTCATTACAGTTCACCACGTACTGAGGGAACAGTAAGGGAAGCTCTTTGAGCTCAGGCAACCTCCTAGGAAAAGGGGAGCTTGGCGCTTGTGGTCTGGTCCCCCCAAGAGGGCTAGCATAATGCCATCCTTCCATGGGGGCCAGCCGCACATGTGGAGCATGTGAGAGGTGAGGCAGGAAGGCCTTGATTGGGCTCCACGGCTGCCTGGAGTGATTGTGGGGCCTGATCAGGTGCCCGTCTTCCCCCGCCCCCACGTCCCCCAGGTTGCTTACTTCCTCGGTGCCCAGCTCCCAAAGACCCCGCCATAAGCAGCCGCAGGGAGCTGGTGGGACCTGAGATGTAGGAGGTGCCAGTGTCCACCACTGCCATGCAGCCGTTCTCGCAGAGTAAGGTGGCCGACCTCACGGACACCCTGGGGGAGGCCACAGTCAGGCACAGACGTGCAGACGCAGACAGAGAGCTGAAAGCACACTGCCCGAGGGGCCTCTGGTGCACACCTTGTGAGCAAGGATGGGTTCAGGAGGCCATGCTGCAGGGCCAGGAAGCACTGGAGGAGGGGAGGTGCTGGCCCTCCCTCAGCACTTGGCTCTTCCCTGTTCTCCCTAGCTCCCCCTCCCTCCCCTGGGAGGAATGAGGGCTGTGCCTTTGAGCACTACTGTGTGGACAAACCATGTGGAGAAAAGGCAGGATGGTAACCCTGCCCCTGCCCCCGCCCCGCCCCCACCCCAGCCCCAGGGAGGTGCCCCCCAGCCCCAGGGAGGTGGAGGATGCCTCACCCTTTCATTTTGACCTGCCAGGAGCCAGTGCTGCTGACGCTCACATAGTGGAAATGTCCTTGGTAATACTGGGGGTCGCTGCCCCCCAGCACAATCTCACCCCCCAGCACATGGGAATTCCTAAAGGACAGATCAGAAGCTCTTGGAGACCAATAAGCTTCAGACCCAGTGACGCAAGAGACAAGGGACAGCTGGGCAAGCGTCCTGGGGGTTTCAGAAGGTTTTGGGAGATGGGAAGCTGGACAGATGACAAGGCCACTGGGAAGCACACAGGACATATCGCCCCTCCCCCCAGCCCAAGCGGAGGTTTTTCCAGGGTAACCAGGTGTGCCCAAAAAAAGCATCCCCAGGAAGGGAGCAGGTACAAGGACAGTGAGTGAATGCAAACCAGATGCAAATCCCACTCTCACTCCCACTCCCATCTCTTGGGCATGGATGGGTGCTGGGTGAGCAGGTGCAGGGAAGGGACTGGGGAGGCAGTTGAGGGAGGGTGGGGTGGGCCTGAGGACAGCAGGAGGGAGGGGCGGTGCTTCAGCCTCCAGCTCAGCCCCTTGCAGAGGTGAGTTTGGGGCAGTGGCCTGTGTGATTCCGGGTCAGGTGCTCTGGGAGTGCTGGAGGGTCAGGGCCATGTGGCGGGCCTCATCTCCTTACTCAGAGTTTCTGCAGAGAAAGAGACAGCAGAAAAGAAGCCTTGGTTTCAGGGAGCCTCACCAGCCCTGCTATTTGCCAGGGTGGGTATCATATACTCTCGCTCTACCTTTCAGACCATGGTGGCACCAACAGATAAAGTCACTTGCCTGAAGTCACCAGGCCACGAGTAGACAAGTGGGGGCCAGGGCCAGGGTTCCTGGTGCCTGGTCGGAAGCCGATTCCCCCTACCTCTCCTCCATAATACACAATGCCTCCTTGGGCTCAGTCCAGAGCGTGTGAGTGTGTGTGTGTGAAGGAGAAATGTAGTTTAGTTCTAGAGTGCATCACAGAATCATTTGTATGTGCACGTATGTGTGTGTGCACATGTTATTTTGTGCAAGTGTAAAGTCTGTGTTTTTACAAATTCAGTACATACAAAGGACCTTGAAAAGTTTGTGAAAATGGAATTAATGTACAAGTTTATCTTGGTGCAAAAAATGGAAATCCATGCGTAATGTTTCTTCATATACACTTTCCATGAGCTTTTTGAGGTCCCTGGGTAGGAGCAGGCCCTTCCCCAGCTATCCCCTCGTGTCAGGCTCTCTCTGGGTGTCCTCTCCTTCCCTTCCTGAACTAAAGGAGGTGGCAGGCCTTCTCACCACAGCCTGCCCTCTCCTGTTGGCTGGCCCTGTCCCCATCCATGGCTCCCTGGCCCCCAGGCCCCCATCTGTCTCCTCTTTCCCCACATTTTCAATCTCTTTTTTTCCTTTGGCTTCTCCCTTCCCCTCCAAGCATTGCTCAAGCACCTCTAGATTTAAACACACCCACCCTTTCTTCCCCTGCTTCTCTCTGGAGCTCACCCCACCCCCCAGGGCAGCCTACATTTTGTGACCTCTGCTTCCTGACACCCACAGTCACCTCTGCTGCTCACATCTGGTCTTGTCCCACTTCCTCTGAAACAGCTTTTCCCAAGACCACCCCTGGCTGCAGAGTCGCCCACTGGTATCTTTTCTCAATGCCTCCCTTTCTGTCACCAAACTGGACGCCTTTCCATTTCCACCCGAGATGCCTCTGGACTCTGCTCCCAACCCCCACTCTCTCTGTCAGGCCTGGTGTTCTTACCCTATGACCTCTGTCTCCACCTCCTACTGTCTTTCTAAACACAGCAGCTTAGAACAGATCAAAACCCCCTCAAGAGCTGACAACAGCTTCCCCAGGGCTGGCAGAACTAGAATGAGCTCAGCCTGGAATTGGAAAGCATCTTTGTGTTCAGTGCCTGGCTCCTGTACACTGTACTGTCCTGTGTTCCCTGCTGGTCTGTGAGCTCTACGAGTGCACAAAGGTAGGATTCTGTCCCGTCCACTGTATTTACCTCTGAATCCCGAGAGCCTCCCTCCCACAGGGGTTGGCCCATGCTGATTATCCAACCAAAGCGTGAGCAAATAAACAAATGAAGGCGCAAATGCATGAGGTGGGCTGCCTCTGTGAGGAAGGAGCCATCGCCTCCAGGGAGGGTCTCCAAGTCACAGTGATACCTTATTGCCCATCCTCAACCCTGCATCGCCTCTGGGTCCAGAGTGGTGCTGTCCATTAGAGTGTTCTGCCATGATGGAATGTTCTAGATCTGCACTATCCAAAATGATAGTCACTGTCCTCCATGGCTGCTGGGCACTCAAAGTGAGGTGGTATGACTAAGGAGCTGAATGCTTAATTTTATTGCATTTCAATTTATTTAAGTTTAACTGGTGGCTTCCATGTTGGCTAGTGTAGCTCTAGCTGTTGGCTCACTGCCACCCGGCCATGAGCATGCTCAGCTGCGGCTCAATTCTCCTCCCATTCTCCCAGCTCTGCCACCCCTTCCTTCCCCCGCTGGGCCCCGGGAGTCCCAGGCCTCACTTGCTGTAGTAGACAGAGAAGACGTCTTCTTTTAGCACTCTCTGGGAGAGGATGTGGTCGAAGACAGGCGTGACCCCTCCGACAGCCTGTGCAGGGAGGCCCATGCCCAGAACCCCGTCGAACTTGGCCAGCATGAAGGGAATCACAGGCAGCTCGGTAACCTCGCCAAACGTCTGCGTCACTGTGATTCCGCCCACCTGTAGGAGGGAGGGCCAGAGGACACCAAACCCACCTCTAGTGGTGTCTGAGCTTCCACAGTAGGGCCCTGGGGACACACATGGCCCAGGGAACAGCAGTTTGGGGTCAGGCTGTTCCATTGACCTCACACACGCACCCTCTCTCCCAACCCATTGGTGCATGGGCTTCAGAGTGAACTGGGGTTGATCAGGGACTGGAGCAGCAGAGGGCGAGGAGGTGGTCCTGTGGAGCAGCAGCAAGGGAGATGCCAAGAGCTCCACACCCGTCCCTACTCAGCTTTCAGGTGGGCAGACCCAGTCCTGCTCACCTCCCCGGTCAAGGGCTGAATTCTTTTTTTTTAAATAATTATTTTATTTATTTATTTATTTATTCATTCATTTTTTGCTTAATTTTACCAGAGAGAGACAGAGGGTGAGAGTGAGAGAGAAAGGAAGTGAGAAAGCAAGCCACCAGATTCACGACTCGAACCCTGGTCGGCCATGTGGGAGTGTCCAGCGCCCCAACCACCACACCACCTGCTGGTTCCAAGGGCTGAGTTCTTCACACAGCCAGGTAAGGGTTCATACTGACTCCTCTCCAGTTCCGTGGGGACCCTCCCCAAACTCTGACACAGCAGGGACTGGAGAAACTCCACAGTGGGGAAGGTCAGACACCCACCAGTGAAAAGAAAAACAGGCCCTGCCCCTGATGCCAAACTCTAACCCCAACCATGACTTTGAAGCCTATGCCAGACTCTAAAATTAACTCTGACCTTGATGTCTCAATACCCCCAATCCTGACCTTGGAGTTCAGTCTAGGGTCTGGTTAATAGCCCAGGCAGAGCTGGTGACCCCAGGCAGGTTACTTGGCTGGAGGAGCCTGTGGGGCTCGGGACAGCCCCCCATGCACACTAGATGTCAGTGTCTGCCCCATCACCACAGGGACCCACGGCCCAGGTGGTCCCCCATAGCCTCTGGTCCTTGTAGCTGCAGCCAGAACAGCAGGGGAGGGAGTCCTTCCACTCCCCAGGCTCCAAGGTGGGCTCGAGTGGACTTCCCCCTCTCCCTCCCCCAATGCAGGCCCTAGAAGACAGGAGAGGCCTGGGGGGTAGAAGGGCAAGGGTCAGGTGTCCAGGTCAGCCCAACTTACAGTCACCACATCCTGGCTTAGGAAGCCTCTGACCTTCCCCGATCCGTAGTGTATGGCGAATTCTGTCCCATTCTCCATGTAGCTGGAGGACTCTGAGGAGTCGTAGAGGCTGTGAATCTCTGGCCAAGAGACATGGGTTCTGGTCTGCCAAGAGGGCCCAGGGAGGCAGACCCAGGCAGAGTGCAATGGGGGTGAGGCTGGTGGCTGGAGGCTCAGCTTAGCAGGGATGGGGTGACCCTGTGGGGTGGGGCTTGGAAAATGTGTTTTATCAGTCAAGGACTGTGTTTCTTGGGCCCTTTTTATGCTCATATATATCTCTGAAAGTTCTGTCTCAAATGAAAGGTGGTTTATTTTTTCGAAGAATTATTTTTTATTTAACTTTATTTATTTGCTTATTTATTGATTTTAGTTTGACCAGAGAGGGACAGAGAGAGAGAGAGAGAGAGAAAGTAAGTTTCTTGGGCCCTTTTTATGCTCACATATATCTGAAAGTTCTGTCTCAAATGGAAGGTTTTTTTTTTTTTTTAAGAATTATTTTTTTCTCTTTTTAAAAAAATTGTTATTGTTTTATTTAGCTTTATTTATTAATTTGACCAGAGAGGAACAGAGAGAGAGAGAGAAAAAGCAAGAAAGCAAGCCACCAGGTCCGGGACAGGAACCACGGCCAGCCATGTGGGAGTCTAGCACCCTTAACCACCACACCACCTGCTGGCCCAAGAATTATGTTTTATTCAACTTTGTTTGTTTGTTTGTTTGTTTTAGTTTGACCAGAGAGGGACAGAGAGAGAGAGAGAGTGAGAGAGAGAAAGTGAGACAGCAAGCTGCAAGGTCTGGGACTCAAACCACAGTTGGCCATGTGGGGGTCCCGTGCCCTTAACCATCGCGTGGTTTTTGTTTGTTTGTTTGCTAATAGGGTGCATGTGCTTGCCAGAGAGAAATGAAGAGAGGCAGAGAAAGAGAGCAGAGAGGGAGGGGAAGTGAGAAACCACTGCCCCGGGGTGATGGCCATGCCACACTCCCCTCTCCTCCATTCTCTCAGGATCTGAGGCATGCACACACACGTCCGTCCACTGGGTCTAGGACTCAAACCACTCGGTTTATGATACCAGAGCAGATTCCGGGCACAGAGTGAGCATTCGGTGCAAGGCTGTTTACAGGGCCAGCTCCTTGGCCTAGTGGTTAAGGGAGCCAGATCCCACATGGCTGACCACATGGTTTGAATCCCAGACTTGGCTGCTTGAAATGCATGCAGGGCGCATGTGCATGTGAGCCCCAGGTACCGAAGTGGCGGAGAAATAGGGGAGAAAAGCTCACGGCATGAGCAGGGCCCACCGGGGAGCTTTCTCCCTCCCTCTCCGCCTTTCTGGTGAGCACACGTGCTTTCTGGAAAATTAAAAGAAAAAGAAGAAGAATGGTCATTGACTAAGGCTGGGGATGATTTTGAGAGTTCAGTCCCATCTCAATGTCAGGAAGACTAGGAAACGCCTCATGGGAGGCCGGGGGCTCCTAGGGCTTGCTTTCTTTTTTTTCTTTCTTTCTCTCTTTCTTTCTTTTTTTTTTTTTTTCCTTTTAAGGATTTTGACATAGGGTACATGCACTCTTTGGAGAGAGACAGAGAGAGAGAAAGAGAGAAACCACCCCCATAGGGGGTAGCCATGCCACAATCCCTTCTCCTAGGAGCCCACATGCACGTGTGCCCAGCGTGATGTTTAGGTCCAGGATTTGAACTGTGTTCAGCCATGTGGGAATCCAGCGCCCTAACCACAATGCCACCTGCTGTTTCCAGCCTTGCTTTTCTATTCTGTAGCCATGTCAGGAGAACAGGAAACATTCCAGGGTTGGTGGGCACAGAGGCAGAGAGGCAGAGAAGCAGCAGCCCAGTCAGTAGCAGAGGGATCTAGCTGAGTGTGGGCAGACGGCCCAAGCAGGGCAGGTCAAGGCAGGGCATTTGGGGACAGGTGCCACGGATCCTGGTCTCACCACAGGCGGTATAGAGAGGGCTGCACTTGGTGGAGGGCACCCAGAGGTTGGCTGAACCCGTGTCAAAGACGACTTTGAAGGTCTGGGCTGGCGTGCCGATGCCAATCTCACCATAGTACTGGGTCTGTGGGGTAAGAAGGAAGAAGTGGATGGAGGGGCTCAGGGAACCTTGCTCTGGGGGTCTTGCCTGGCCCCACCTTGGCTCTGGGAGTGAGATTGGGCAGGTCGCCTGGGTTTCGTTTTTCCTGCAGGGCACTGTCCTATGCCCTCCCAGGATGTGCACGACTCCGTGAGACAAGATGGCAGAACAGAAACCCTGAACGTGAAGCAGAATGCCCGGCTCTTGAGAGAGCAGTCAGGCCAGGGAGGTCACAGAAACCCCAGCCGAGGTCACACGCCCCTTCCCACCACCAGTGACCCCTGGCTTGAGGCCTAGCTGAGTTCCAACCTAATCCTGCCTCTGGCTCTGAGGTGCTTCTTGCCCTCTGAGCACCCGGCTTTCCAGCTACAACATGGGAATGCTGTAGGGCACTTACCCGCTCCTGGGGTGGAAAGAGT